GTTTTTTTTAAAAAATAAGCAAGTAAGCTACAGTCTTGCTTAGAGCAACCAAAATACCTTTGCAGCTACAGAAACAGAGTGGGTGAGAGAGCATAATTTCAAGCATCTGAGTCTTTCTTCTGACCAAGTGTAGAATGAGGCCTCTGGGAATTCTGACTTGAATCAGCTCTAAATTTTTAATTTACAGAAAGTCAGCACTAATGAGAACTAAAAGTCATCTTTCAGAAGCCTTTTATTTTAGCTTCTGAAATTTTTACTTGTTTAATATTATTAACAGCTGGGATTAAATAGAGGGCTCTGAAACAGCCTTTGTAAATCTTGTTTCTCCAGCGTCTCATGACCTCAGTCAGATTTTAGGTATTTAGAGATGCAGGCAAAACCTTTTGAGAGTATTATGATTCTTAAGGCATGAGTTTAGATACCTTTATTTATAGCAAATAATTAAAGTCAGTCAGATTTTCATAAACTATTGGGGGGTCTGTGTTTAGCCCACAGCTAGCTAGAACTCCTCTCTTCAGCATTTAAAAGTGGCAGCCGCAGTTGCTGCTGCTGAACGGTGGAATCGTTTTTGCAGGAACATCATTTTTGTCAGCAGTTGAAAGCAAGCCAAGTGGTTTTACTGGGGTGAATGAAATTCATAGTATAAAACTTAAATATTCTTGTAAAAGAGCCATGTTGGCCAGTTTATGTAAACACAACAAGTGCACATTTATTTTGATTTTTTTTAAAAAACAAACTATTATTGGGTTACATTTAAAATTGAATATAGGTATTTCTTCTTTTCATTGGTGATCTGCTTGCAGATATTTAAAATCTATTTCATAAAGGTAAGGCTGACATGCTCACTTGTTAGATTTCAGAGAAGATTTAATTAGTAGGGCTCAGGTGGCCATTGTAATCTTATTTCTGGGTTTTAAAAAATCTTTTGGAAAATACTGTGTCACTTCCCATGGTTAAGAGTTCAGAATCTAAATGTAATAAGTGGCAGGGAAATTGTCTGCATAGTTAAATATTTGCTTGTTGTGGCACAGTGCTTTGGGATTTCATAGAAATCATCCAGTTCCATCACAATAAATGTTGTGTGTCACAATTAGTACGCTAGGTACTTTTTAACAAAGAGGTAGACTAAATGATTATGAAAATTGTTAGAACTGCCATAATGAGGAAGGGCCTTCCAGAAAGAAGTGCATATCTCAAACAACATGGAGTAATTGTACTCTGTTGCTTTATAAGTACCATTTCAGTGAATAAGGACAAGGCATAGGCCTTTTACTCTGGACCTGGTAGTAAATTAAATCCTTAAGGAAAAGAGCAGAAGTTAAAAATCACAATCAGCACAATGTGGCTTGCCATAACATGCATAATGCAGGCTTCCAATTAGAACATGGCAATTAAAAAACTTTCCTTGTCGACTGATGAGAGAGCAATTATTTTTAAAGCAGAGTAATATGGTATTCTGGCTCTGCTTCCAGTCACTTCTGGCTCCAGTATAGAAAAGACAAGGCTTTTTTTGGGAAACATATTTGCTATTGAATTTTGTATCAAAAGAGTGGCAAAGAGAGCAGTTTTTTGCTATAAACTCAACTCCTGCTAATCAGTAGTACAAATTATTTCAATGCATTGAGGCTCAATTAGTCAATTGTTTTATAAATTATTTCTCTATAAGATTCAAATTAGGGTTGCCAAGTCTTACCGAAGTAATAGCGGGGGAGTCCAAGGCCCTCACTGGGAGTCCTTGTACGCACACAAAACGTGCGTGCTGTGATGACGTCATCACATTGGGCAGAGAAGTGACATCATCATGCTGGGCACGTCACCGGGCGACGCTCTGGTAATCACCCTAAAAACTCTGTGGTACCATAGAGTTTTCAGGGCGATTGATAGAGTGTTGCCCGGCGACGTGTCCAGCGTGATGACATCACTTCCGAGCGACGTCATCGCGCTGGGCACATAGGCCTGATCTGGCCATTTCGGGGGTGGGGTTCCCCCCGCCGGCCAGATCTGGACTGGTGGATTGGGGACCCTTTTAGCGGGGGAATCCCCGCCCCCTGGGGGGACTTGGCAGCCCTAATTCAAATTGAAGAAATAATTGGAGATGGATGTAATTGCAGATGCCAGCCAATTTGTTGAATAAAGCCCTGTTAGATCCTGTGTTGAATTTTTTTGTCTTCCCTCAGTTCATTTAGCTTTTTTTTTTTTGCTGTAGCTTTTATATTACACTGTGATGAGATAAACTAAATTTTGTAAAAAAAAAAAAAATCTATAATAAAGTATTTTAAAAAAATAGTACACAGTAAGCCAAAGAATTTAGTAAGAGTTAAGCAAAATCACATCTAATCTGTTTCAAAAAACACACACACCCCAACTCACACACAGACACACTTCATTGGTCCCAAAAAAAACCTGAAATAAACTGAAAGAAGGCAACTATTTCTTATAGTCCTGTGTCTAATACACTTTCTGGTATAAAGCCACATTTTTCATGGCCTCCAATTTAAAAAAAACTCTGCTAAAATTGTTAAGAGAAAAGGTTCTAGTCTACCCTTTCACATCAATTTTGCCTTATGGGGAATTATTAATGTAGGGGAACTTAGAAAAAATGTAACCCTTCATTTGGAATCTGATGTGGTGCAATCCCATCTTGTTACCTCAGCACTCTGCTAGAGACAGACAGACAGACACAGACACTGGGGTTTAGTCTTCACTACAGGTTCTACTTTCTTTCCATATCTAGTAGTAAATTCCCATTTGAAAAATTAGACCTTTTATTAATTTTTTCTTCATTTTAAATCATTGATATACACTGTAAAGGGGGGGGAGCTCTGTCTCTCTTTCCCCATATTTAAGAGGTGCCCCTTTATTTTTCCTTTGGGGTCTTCAGGCTGTAATTTCCGAGATGACCTGTGAAACACATATTGACAATTGACCTTCAGTTGGGCAATGTAATCATATTCACATTTACCTGCTGAATTTTTTAGTAAGTGGATTGATTTTATTGCCTGGAGTAGGGACCAACGCAGGAGGGGCAGGGGAGAAGTAGAACACAGACTAGAACACAGGGCGGAATTAGGATACAACTTTATTGATTACAGATTCCTCAGGTCTTGGCACAGCATAGGCTGGGGAAAGTGGGTACAATTAATGGCTGAATTGCTGTCAGCACCTTCCCCGACCTGCTTGTTGGGGTAACTGAGGGAAGAGGGCCAGTATTAGGGCTGGAAGCAGCAGAAACCGCTATTCCTACCCATTACCATCTTCTAGGGAGCATGGTGAATGCATCTGCCCTGATGTTGGCTGTTGTGTACCCTGTCCCCCCAGAGCCCCTTAAGAACACACCCATTTTAGATTGTGGGGAACTGACCAGGGCCATAGCTAGCACGGGGTATATAGGGCGACGCCCCCTCCTGGATTTTCAGTGCCCCCATCGAATCATAGAGCCCGCCCTGCCTTCCTTGCCATCAATGGGCAGGTGCGAGGCATACCACCGTCCATCTTCCCAGCTTCCATTTCACCTTGCAAGTCAACGCACCTTAATTAAAACATGTGGGCATGACAGCCTTTTCCTGGTGGGGGGGCTGCCTTCTTCCCATCCCCAGTGGGCCAGCAGGACCAAAGATGGGGGGAAGGCACTGTCCAGGAACTTTGCTCAGAGGGTTCAGGCCCACTGTTGGGAGAGGCCTGGCCCTTCCTCATTTGTCTGCTCTGTTTCCCAGTCCTGGCCCCGTGTGACTGGTGGGAAACCCCATAGTGCCACCCTGACACCCCAGGAGTCTTTCTGGCTCCTGCTCAGCCCCTCTTTTTTAACTTCCCTCCCGGGGCAGCAGAGGAGGTGCTGTCAGCAGTGGAATTCGTGCAGCGGAGCCTGAAATTGGAGTAGGGGCCTAGCGAATACATGTTCGACTGGGATGGTGACAAGATCTTCCATGTGGGTGTGGAGCACAAGGAGGCCGTTCGGCGATGACTCCAGTTCCAGAAGTTCACCAGCTTCCAGGCTGAGGGTGTACTGGGGGACCTGGCCCATCCTCTGCTCCAATCTGGACAGTATTATTTTTTTGTGGCATCCAAAGTGACATCATGGCCCCCAGTGCCCCCCCCACCGAAAATCATCTAGTATAGGGCTGGAACTGACACTACACAACCTGCACTATGTTCCCCATAAACGCCAGCAGCCAGTTGGACACTTATGTTCTTTTTAACAGTACCATCAAGCACATGGAGTATATGTATTCTTTGCTATGAGGAAGCCCAGGGCGTATGAGCCAGTCTGAGCCCCACATAAAATTCCTTCCCGACTCTGCTAACTAGTGACCACATGCAGACATAGCAAAGGATGGGTAACCACACAAAAAATAAACCTCAGAAGCAAGGGATGGGAAGTGTGGTCTTTTCCAAGAAAGAGCTGCTGAATGCCCAATGCCTCTTTAGCACACTCCTTTTCAACCTGCAGACCAGAGAGAAGCCTGCAACCCCCAGATCTACCTGCCCCACCTATCCAGCAATAGGCTTGCCCCTGGGAGTGGGCTGTTGGAAACTGATTGAGAGCAACTGGCTGACAGCCAATGCTGGGCCCAGCTGCCGAAAGTCATTCTTGCCCCGCCCCCATCAGGCACAAAAAATGTTCCAGCATAAGGCTGAGAGCTAAAATTACATAAATTAAGGGCATTAGATGTATTTTGTAGAATTTGTCTAATTGAGAAGATGTTATGGATTGCTAATCATATTTAAAATAGGATGATTTTGGAAGTAAAATTTTCAGGAGTGCCTCAAAAATATTTTGATATAGATGTATATCTACTGTTACTGCCTGTATCTTGAAATGTAGACAATTTTTAGAGAAACATTTTAAGGAAATACATGTCTTCAGGGATTTCTGTTGATTTTTACAATAATAACTGCTTGTTTTAGTTTAATCTGAATAAAGTGTAAAGAAGATGGTGGGAATAAATTATACATTTTTTTTACTGGTGACTGCTGAATTCTTCCACTCTGTGTTTATCCAGGTTACTTCTCTGGGATTGTGATGACAGAAGCTACAGCTACTACATAGAAGTTTCTACTAATCAGCAGCAGTGGACCATGGTGGCTGACAGAACAAAGATTTCCTGCAAGTGAGTTCAGCTTTCTTCTTAATGTTTCTCAGCTCTAAGAGCCAAATTAAACATGACAGTGGCCATGGTTGCATCTCATGGCAACCAACACCATTTTAGAAGTTTTAAAAATTCCTGTGAGGGCCCGATTTGGATCTAGTGTGCAGTGTAGAGGTTCCAGGAGCTCATATTCCCCCTGAGCCCTTTAATGTGCTGAAACAGCCATGGGGGGGGGGGCTGTTTTTGTATGGGAGAAAGCTTTGGGTGCCCCAGAACCAACCACAGAAAAATGGGCCCCTTCCAAGAAACAACCGAGAGCCCCGTCAGTATCTGTGATACCGGCTCCCTCAGCATCTGATCCAATGGAAAATTCAACTGCAACATGATAGACATTGGAACCACCATATAAAAAGTTGAAGAAGATCAAACATGTTCAGTGCGCCTCACCCCACCATTACTGATCGCCTCAGCACTGACAGTCTCCGTCATCTGGACGCTGAACTTCGATTTTGCCTTGACATCGACAGGATTCACCCAGCCAACACCGTCTCTGCACCTCTCCCAGGAGCTGACTGTTGACACCGATAGACTGTGGTTTTATGTCATCTTGACATCGACCGTCACCAATCCATATTGGTGTTGAACCACTGATGCATCCAGGAATGCTGTTACCTTTGGGGTATAGATATCACCCATCAAGATTGACAGATAATGAAGATTGACAGCTCACCGGGGGCATCGCCCAACCTCCTGGAGGGAGGTGGGTTAGCAGGAGGCTTCACTCGGTCACCTCCCACACCCAGCAAGTGTGGGGGTGAGCCATTTTTTGCCTCGAAGCAGGAGCGACCAAGGGAAGGAAACATGGCTCCCATGTTTTCCATTAGCTGCGACCAGCCATTTTAAAGACTGTTTTATTCATGTTTTTTTTTCTTTTTTGTTTCATCTTGCAACAAAAGAAACTTGTGTGTATGCATTTGCTCTCTTTACAATCTGTGATGACCCTCATTAAATGACCCCCACAAGATTATCTCAGACTTTTGAAACATATAAGCGGCCATGGAAAGGAACAGAGCAAGTGATAAGGAAATTGCGTTAATTGGAGAAAGGAAGAAGACTCAACAGGAGAAACAGTATTAATTAACTTAGAAAACAGTGAATTTGGATATATAACCTTGGACCAATTCAAAGAAATTCTATTTAACGAGGTGCGGCAGGCAGCTAAGGCTGCCTGCAAAAATATTATTAAGAACCTTCTAAATAAAGACCCAGAATTGGAAAGCAAACAGAAACCAGAGCAGGAAGAGAAGTAGGAGCCCCCACAATGTCAGCGTTCTGTGATTTCAGAGAAAGATCAAGGAGACAACCAAGATAAAAAAAAGCACAAGACTCATCTTGTATGGAGACGGAAAAGAAACGCTCCCAGATAAAAAGTTGTGTAAAGTACTTTGCAAAGCGAGCCAAGGAAGTCTGTGGCTTCAGACATTGTCCTCAGGAGATTTTCCTCCTTCCCCAAGATACCACGGCTAAGATTGAAGACCTTCTGTTCAAGGGTCATCAACTCTTCAGCGATCAAATGGATGATGCCTTAGACTGCATCTGCAAGAGTAAAATCACGGCCAAGTCTCTGAGGATCACTCACACTTCAACTCAGCCTTGTAAGCAAAGGTATTTTCCCAGAAACTCCCAGAGATTCCACCAGTCTAGACCCTACCAGGTACTCATAGTATAGGTATCACACTCCACAATCAGCTCAGCAGTTCTATAGGGTCATCAGCTCCTCAGGGTCCACAATTTTCCTTTTGCAAGAGGCTTCCTCCTTATTGGCCAAGGGTGCAATCACTTTAGTCTCACCAGAATTGGGAGATACTGGGTTTTATTCTAGGTATTTCACAGTAGACAAAAAGGCAGATAAACAGCCTATCCTGGATCTTAGAGCCCTGAATAAACACTTATATGTGCCAAAATTTTGAAAGCTATCTTTACAAGAGGTTCTGCCCTTCTAGACAACAGCCTATATTTTCCTGTACTTGACCTTAAAGACTCCTGTTTTTGTATAGCTGTCCATAAGGCTTGTAGAAAATGTTTTTGATTCATGCATGAAGGCACCATGTACGAATGCACAGTATTGCCCTTTTTATTTATTTATTTATTTATTATTTCGACTTTTACCCCGCCCTCCCCACCAAAGCAGGCTCAGGGTGGCTCACATAAAACCAGTAAAACAATAGTGAGCTGGCGACAGCACTGGGAGTATTTACAAAAGTGCACAGTGGTCATCGTCTCCTCTCTGAGCCTCGGGGGTGTACCAGTTACTTGTACCTCGATGACTGGCTCTTTGTAGACAACTCTCCTCAGAAGTTGGAACATAATTTGCCATTCTTTGCACTCTTCAGGACCTGGGTTTTCTTACTAACAGGAGAAATCCCACCTTTCTCCTGTTCAGTCTGTAGATTTTATTTGGGCTGTGACTGACTCACATAAGTGAAAGGCATTCCTTCAAGAGCAAACACTATCATAGCCCTGATTAAGAAATTTTTAACCAACAGATTTCAGTCAGCCAAGAATGTTCAAAAATTGCTAGGCTACATAGCAGTGACCCCTCATGCTAGACTCTGCATGAGGCCTCTCCTATACTGGTTTGTGCACACATTCAGTCCAGCAACCGACTCACTCTGGAGAAAGTTCTCACTCCCTAGAGCCATTCTTAGGACTCTCAACTGGTAGACTAGGTTGTCATATCTACTTAAAGGGGTCCCTCTAGGAACACATTCCCATGAGGTGCAAGTCTTTACAGATGCTTCTTTAACAGGCTGGGGAGCACATTGTGGCATTCACAAAGTTAGGGGACCATAGTCCCAAGATGAGTCAAGGCTTCACATCAATGTGTTAGAAGTTAGAGCCATTAGATAGGATCTTACTTCTTTTACAGAGCTCCTGCAGGGGTGTCAGGTCCTCTTGGCTACACGACAACATGACGGCCACATTTTATATAAACAAGTAGGGAGGGACAGGCTCTATGTGTCTGTGCAGAGATGCTTCTCTCATTTGACACGGGGCTATAAAGTACAGAGTACACCTAATGGCCATATACATTGCAGGACAAAACAGAACCCTAGCAGAGATGCTGAACAGGGATCTAGACATGAAACAACAATGGTTAGTCACCGATCATTATCGCCACCCCATCTTCAGAGAATGGGGGTTTCCTGAAAAAGACCTTTTTGCCTCCAGTGCCAACACCAAATACAACCTTTTCTGCTACAGGGTAGTGGATGACTGCAAGTCGCTTGGGGATGCATTCCAGTTGCACTGGCATGGTCACTTTTTTAATGCCAGACTGAAGGTGGACAGAACCACCTGCATATTCCTTGTGCCATATTGACTGAGACAAGTGTAGTTCCCAATCCTGTGGGATCTAGCCAAGAGAATCTACAGGTCCCTTCCCCCAGCAGAGGGCCTCCTTCAGGTAGACTCTGTCCACCACCCTGAGGAGCAGTTTCTGTACCTGACAGCTTGGCTGATCCTGCCCTAGAGAATTTTTCACAGAGAGTCGCAGAAGTTAAAGTAGCCTCACGTAGACCTTCCACACAAAGGTCTTATGAATCAAAATGGAATCATGGGTGAGGGTTCACGCCAAACACCTGTGAATTGTCCATGATATTTGAGTACCTCCTTACTCTAAAGGATAGGGGTTTAGCCTCCTCATCCATTAAGGTACGTGTGGCTGCCATTTCAGCCTTTCACAAGGTGGTCAAAGGTTCATCAGTTTTCTCTGCAGTAGAGTCCTGGAAGTTCCTTAATGGTCTATTAAATTTGTATCCACCTGTTGTACACCCTGTTCCACAGTGAAGTTTATCCCTTCTTCTGTCCAGGTTAATGTATAAATCACTTGAACCTATGGCAAAGTCTGATTTGTCATTTCATTGTATAAAACAGCCTTCCTGGTGGTGATTACCTTTGTCTGCAGGGTGGGAGAACTGAATGCATTTAGCTGCGACCCATCTTTCACAAAATTCCACATAGGTAAGGTAGTACTTAGGCCAAGTGTCGAGTTTCTACCAAAGATGGTTTCCAGGGGGGTTTCACATGGGGCAAGACATCACCCTCCCAGTCTTTTCCCCATCCCTAGTCTCTGCATTGGAAAGGACACTGCACATGTTAGATGTTAGAAGGGCACTTCTGTTTTATTTAAAAAGTACACTAAGTTTTAGGAGGGATCGGAACTTGCCCCCCCCCAAAAAAGACCACAATAAGGGGAAGGCAGCATCATCACAGTCACTGTCTAGATGGATAGAAGCCACAATTAGGACAGCATAAGCTGAGGCAGGCATGCCGTGTCCCGTCTTGTCAGCTCACTCCACAAGGGCTCAAGTTCCATCAGCAGTATTTTGATCCAGACTCTACCTAGACAATATCTGCAATGTAGACACCTGGTTGGCACCCTCAACATTTATCCAGCATTACTCCATGAATGTGGATTCCTGGGAAAAGGCAGCTGTGGGAAAAGCAGTCTTACAGTCAATCTTCCAATAAATCAGCTTACACCCGCCTCTTTGGTAAGTGAAACTGCTATTTTCCCATGTGTGGCTGCACAGAAGCCATGAAGATGAAAATGGGGTTGCACTTACCTGTAACTGTTGTTCATCAAGTGGTCTACTGTGCAGGCACACATCACTCCCTCCTTTCCCCGCTGTGGGCTGCTTTAGTGAAGCTGGCTCCTTATGGTGGCGAAGGGAGAACTGAGGGAAGAGTGCTCGCTCCTCCCCCTGTCACATGGCTCTTTGGGTGGGAAAGGGGGAGGGGAGCACTTTTCGGCTCTAGAAACTTCTAATAAAGCTTTCCATGGCTAGCCTGTAATTGTACAGCCCCTCTGTGTGCCTGCACAGAAGACCACTCGCTGAACATTGGTTGCAGGTAAGCGCAACCCCTTTTAAATTGTGGAAGTTTTAGGAAGGAAAATTGGGAATTTCTCTCTGTTGCTGTAGCAATACTCACAGGAATGAATATGTTTTCTTGCATCA